TACTACTGAAGGTTGGCACATCGCTATTTAACCTCCACGCAAGCTGCACCCCTGCATGACAGGTGGCGAACATGAATTAGGGCAATCTCAAGTTTGTCTTTTAGCTGGCTGCATTCAGAGAGCTTTTNTTTTTTTTTTTCAAAATTAGGTTCAGATTTCAAATTCATCATTCAGCAGTTTAACCCCAGCCTCAGGCATGGCTAGTTCACTGGACGGGTAAAAGAAATGTTAAACAGTTTGGCACTTTTTTGCCTTTTCCTATAATTCAGCACACAATAGATTTCATTCATAATGTAGTCTTTATCGCTGCCACCACAGTGTCCCATAATTCTGTAACATTTCTTTTCTGTTATATAATTTTCCTCGCGAATCCTGCACACTGCAAAGGAAACGCTTACGGAAGGTTAGAGCACCGATTTGGCTTGCATCAGCTGGCTTTGGTGCGTTCTAGGTTCGCAGAAGACCTCGCTCTTAACTTCAGTGATCTGATCTTTCAGGAACTCCTTTAGATGCAGGCGGAAAGGGAGAAGCGAACAGTTGAATACCCAGATGAATCCGGTTAAGTTCGGGCTAAACATAACACTGGCCTCATCTCGAGAATGTGAGTGATGAATACCGGATGCTTTTTGACTGCGTCGAAAATAACGGGTTCTCTTGGTATTTGGTGTGGGGCGTCCGGGAATTATTTTCGGAATCCGCCTCTTCTCTGAAGCGAGCAAGACAGCGTTTGGAATGATGCTTGTGTATTTGGTGTCTCCCGGATTTGGTGATAAGCACTTTTGAGTTACAAGCATCTACTATCGCTCTTGTGCGGTAGTCGACGCTAATCTTAGAAATGAAAGAAATGCTTTAAAATTGTATTATGGAATTCACTTAATGCTTCATATTGAGCAACTGCGCGCGATCCGACGCCATTTTCGGGAAGAAGATACTATACCCCTGCACGGTAGATCGTGGCCCTAATCACAAATTTAAATTCTAAAAATTCCAACAAAAAATCTGCTCGATACTTCTTTACAGATACGACCGAAGGTGTCGTTCCCTCTCTTCCTAATTGTTGCTTGTAGTTCTTTAGTTTACCACTTTTATTGTTTTCCCTTTCGTAGCATCTGCGACAACGAAGACACTCATAATACACAATGGTGATACTGCGACGCATGCCAATTCCACAGATGATGATCACCCAGAAAAGCCGGAGAGGACAGTACGAGTGAGGCTTTGAGGATTGCATTCTTCAAAATGGTTCTTCATTCAGGACATTGTTATAGAGGTTGTTGGGAAAGTGTAGAAGATAAAGGAGGTTCTTTTGAGCCAGCCAAGTAGAAACACTAACGGCGATGCCTTTGTAAGACGTCTCATTGGTGGGTACCAACAATTTGCAAATGGCTGTCAGTGACAGTTTTCATGAAGAGCTGAGCTTATCGGGTTGCACTCAAAGATAAAACTGTCCCCTTTTTGTAAAAAAAGCAAACGATAGATTTGTCTATGATCGGCGAAGTCAAGTCTCTCTTGGCTGTTGGCTTGGTAATAATTCGAAACGCGAACCTTAAAAAATGTCATGTGTATCATAGTACTTCTACTGGACATGAATAACTTTGTTTTGAGTGGTGTTGTTGACTATTATAGTAATAAAGAATAAGAAGTACTTCCATAAACGCTATTTTCGAAGATTCCCTGTAGAACAAAAGCAAGAGGCTGCTCTCTCTCTGTACTTTCCACAAAATTCTCCTTCTTCTCGTCTATAGGGAGAAGCTCCGGCTCGATACCCAACTTAGCCAACCAAGCCTTCCCTAAATTTTGTTCGAATTGCTGGCACTAGACTCATCTCAGAAAACAAAAGCATTGGCTCATATACCAAATGGCCTCTCAGTTCATCACACGAGCCACGCACACATTTAAACGCCAAAACGCTACTACGATTTCGAATGAAAGTTGTACGCTTGCGCGTATCCCCATGAAATTGGTTATTTTTAAAAGTATCCATTGTCATGCTTTATCCAACTGACTAAAGAGAACTATTAATAAAAAGATGTGAGCATTATGTGAAGGCTTCTCGGAATAGTTTATTTTCCTTGTGCATTGTTTTGGGAAGGAATACCGATTCCTAGAAACAGCCTCAAATGTTTAAGGCGGTTTTTCAAGCACAGAGATACGAAAAAAGCAAAGCCCTCACCTCACTAAATTTTTTTTGTCTTTGGTGGACTCTTAACATACCCCCTGTTTAGTCGTTATCTTGTTTCGACTTTTTTGTGTATGGTCGACTTGAATTTTTATCAAGAAGTTCACTCAAGTATAAAAGTACTGAGATTAAGGTAGCCGTACGTGAGTTGGATGTCTCAAAATGGGGTTGAAAAAATAGCCGTAGTTGAAACTGAATAACCTGACAACATAGAATCTAACAAATTGACAGCAGACCAAAGTATTGGATAGACATTCTTCACCAACTCTATTGAAGATAATGGAGGAGCTGAAGAAGCGTGGCTTGCTCTCCAAGTGCGATGTCGTTGAGAACAAAAGATTGGCATCAGATGGAGAGCTTGAGGCCGTGCACGAAAGGCCTTATATTAGACGCATGAAGAACACGACTAAGGTACGCCTTCAACTATCCAGTTTATTTCCATGCTCCTCCTGTTTGGTTCACATGGTTAGGAGGTTGCGAGATCTTCTGTTTGTCGTCATTTCATCATTTCATTTCATTTCATTTCATTGCGTTCATTTCGATCTCTCGCCACACTGCGGCTCTCTACATAATCGCAGTATTGTCGTAATGCCAAGTATTTCTAAGAATTATCGCTGCGTACCAATGTCATCCCATCATTTCTTCCAGCTATCGGAGTCAGAGTTGCGTGTAACCGAAGACGGAGTAAACTCTATTTTTCTAACTCACGATACTTTCCACATTGCTAGCAAAGCCGCTGGAGCGGTTCTCGAGGTATGCAGAAAGTTCAATCAACATTTAAATTTACATTTTTCTCTGCTGTCTTTCTAAGACACCTTCTCAGGGTGAGCATTATTTGAAGTTCCCAAGCCATACAGTGTTGAACACACGCATACTTCAGCATACTTCACACTGCTGCAAGCGGTTGTTAGACATTGGCAGTTCAGGGATGTGTTTGGGATAAATTGAATACTTTGAATTAGAACAAGTTGAGTTTTGCTGAAAGCAAAGCTTTCTAACATCCCAACACAGTATCGGAGCCACAGTGTGTCAAATAGGCAGTCGTGTGAGGGCGGCGAAACTGCGTTCACAAGCTCACAGCTGTCTAGAAACATTCTGGAACCCGGGTGAAAGTAAATCAATTACCTAGAGGTTTAAATGGTAACTGTTTGCGACCGTGGTGGGTGCCTAAATCAGGTGCACAAAAATGCTCATAGCGTTTGAGCGATTGAAAAATAGATGCAGAATAGTAAAGGAAGACTCTAGTTTTTTGGATACTCGGATGGGAGGGCAAGCTCGTTTTATATTCAGAGAATAACAGGTCATCTGTTAATGGAGACGTAGTGTGCAACTATGTTGTGTAGCTTGAGCTGCCATTCACAATACGTTCAGAGACGCCTGAACAAGTCAAGATGATAATTACTATAGCAAAGTACTAGAGTATGAATGTGAAAAGTAAAAGATGAAATTGGAAAAAATCATTAAGACATTTGGGTTTTAGGCAGCTTGGCTGGTAAGGTTGTAGTAGATAGGGACTGGTTGGAGGAGGGTGACCAAACAAGGAAGTTGGCCGGAGCCACAATCGAAGTCGTAGTAGTTCCGAGATTACCCGACCAATAAGAAAGTAATGCACGGCAAACTAAGGCAATGGACGACATAAGCTGAAACTTAGGGAAAAGGAGAATATGAACTGGTCCAAGCTTCCGCCAAGGCTGGTGAAAAGTGAAAAACGATTATTCAGACGGGGGTGAATGCGCTGCTTGGATTCCATCATACTGTTGGAAGCTGTATTTATTAGTTTTTTGCAGATCTCATATTATCGCTAAACTAAGCACTATAGTGCACTAGCACAGCTTATGAATTCAGGCGAGTGAGGTCAAGTTATTGGGATCAAAAGGCCTCCCTCGCATAAAATCATTAGCTGTGCCTCTAGAAGATTCATTGAACATCGTTTCTAGAACATTTTGAAGTTTCTGGGGCAACTCGCTTGTATGTGGTACCTCCGAAAGTCAGTCAGGCTGTCGTTTTCTCCTTTCATAATCAGAACGCAATGGATCGGAGCTCAAGAGTTATCGGCTTTCTTCCAATTTTCTCTATTGTAACTTATACAAACTTCCTTTCTGACGCAGCACGTGCCCATTGTTAGGTAATAGTAATTGAAAGGTATAGCATATACATAGTTGGTACTACTGAAGGTTGGCACATCGCTATTTAACCTCCACAAGCTGCACCCCTGCATGACAGGTGGCGAAAATGAATTAGGGCAAACTTAAGTTTGTCTTTTAGCTGGCTGCATTCAGAGAGCTTTTCTCGTTAAGCCGTTCCCGTTTGCTACTGACAAAAAACTCTGGAGCGGTCCGTACTATAGTTTCATTCGAAAAAAAAGTGAAGTCAGCGGTGCATCAATGAAGAATGAAGTATGTCACGAAAAATGAAATTACCGGAATAAACCAGTTTTTACTTCAGATCTGTGGGTTTGGCAGTGAAAACCCATAAACTTAGTGCTTCCGGTGCAGTCTTTACTAGAGTAATTAGTTGCCACTCGTCATCCGATTGCGCTAATGAAAGGCAAACTCAGCGATGAAGGTGTGCAACAATGGTGTTTGCAACTTATCGTGTTACCACTAAAATATCCTTCGCAACGATGCCTTTGCCAATCCTCCCCTCAAGTAACTTATCATCTTCTCTCTATAATGCCTAAGTGTCCTGTTTAGTGTTTATAATCACACTATTAACGACCATTATCAATGAATATGTAATGGAAAAAAACAACTGACGTGAAAAGCAAACATTTATTTTTTGCATATGAGATCTTTACAAACAGCATTAGTAAAACTCTTTGATGAACTATTTACAAGAAAAAACATTGTAGTACAATGATCTCCTTCACAAGTAAACTAGCGAAAATCTACATATATCACAAACATGTGACCGTTTACCATTTTCCTATCACATTATTTTTGTGGAGCACATATGGCAGTGTTATTGAAATCGTTTGTTGAACAACAGAACAACAGAAACCGTTTTTGAAGCCCGGTAGTAATAATAGAGAACTCTCGCGAATTTTAGAGGATATGTGGCGACTGCACGCCCATTTAAAATCTTGAAGTAAAAGTAAAAGTGGTTACTCTTCACGTATAGTTAATTGCACAAATGGTTTGATATGATTGATCGATCACTCCGACTTGCCGTTCTTGAACTTGTTCACGACTCCCTCATCGTCCCTGAAATAGTGCACTCTTTTCTCACTTTGAACTCAATTTAATTCAGAATCAGAGGTCGCTATGAGCACTTCGGGGTTTTTATTCTACGCATGGTGCTCGAGGTGCACCAAGGATATGCATTACCGTTGCCATAGCGAGCAATGCTTGACAACGTGTTACCATCCAAACGAATTCATGAGCCATAACCAATGAACATACTACTTAAAATGGTATTTGCCCACTAAAACCCTCACCGATTGATGGCAGCCTTCGAACGCCATCGTTGGCTAAGGAATCCGTCAGATACTAGCACTCTGAAGAATAGCATGGCATTGATAATACAGAAAACGACTGGTCCGCCTAAGGCGATGCTTGCGTATACGATATGTATTCGATTGAAATGCGTCACGGCCCATTGAACAAATAGTGCTTGCGTCACAAAGCGGCACAGCACAAACCTGAAATGCAGTTGTTATGTCTGTAGAATTCGTCCAGCAGTATGTCGTTCTGTTAGCATGTGCATGAGAGCTAATCAGTACCACATGTGCTAGACATATTGATCCGCACAAAAAATTTATTGGCATAGTCCCACATGTTGAAAAAAGTTCAAGATAAGGGGGTGTACTACATGTTGTACACATAATCTTGTACTACATTCACAAGCTCACAGCGCAATTCGACCAAAAATTGCTATTTAGCACCCGGGTGGCTGTTCAAAGTATAGCCTTTGTAGTGACCATGAGCTCAAATCTGCCTTCGGGTTGTTGAATGGATTTATTAAGAAAATCAAGTAGTCCTCACAAGGTTCATTTCTTTTCGTTTTCCCCAAGCACGTTGGAGTTGGTGAACGTATCGGCACCCTGGTGGTAGAAGGGGTAAGTATATAGCGTATTGCCTCACAGATGCGATTTTACGACATTTGGCCTTCGATGTATTCGCTTCTTCACTTTTTTTTGATGATACTTCTTATCTGAGTGTAGAGATCATTTTTCATTTGTCTATTCATAAAGTTGTTTGATGCCAGCAAGAAATATTTGCGAAAGTTTTATGCTTATCCTTCTATTTTTGAATTTTCAAGTAGGTTCCTGGTACAATAATAGATCAAATCCCAAGAAAACCAAACAGGCATTCTTTTGTATTATCGAGATTACAGATTTTTTCAAGAAAAATTGCTCATCACGATGTAATTATAATGTTCACCCCTTTCCCCCGTCTGAGACACAAATCAAGTAAGAGGATGTGTTTGAGACGCGTTTTGAGCACCTCACAGTGTTCATATTTTGCTGTATATCAAACATAAAATGGGTAATCTTGTGAACGTAAAGGGGGTTGCAAAAGTTCTGAGATTGGTTTCTTCTTTGTTTTTGGGGATACAAACCCCTAAAAGAATCGAGAGGGTTTTCGGCTTCAAAGCAAAACAAGGTTGCGCATGCATCGAGAATCCACAAACCCTTTCATGACCTCACACCTAATGCATTGTATGCTTGTCCATTACAATAGCAGTCGCTTATTTCTCTTCTTTTCTCTTTAATATCAAAGGCAAGAGAGAAATATAGAACACCATACTAAAGAACACCCCTTTGCACCTGCCTTGATACTGTCGTGGTTTCTCTAAAAAGCTTAGTCTACTAAATGTATTTCGACAGAGACCGAATGCATACAGAAACGATTTCATTGATAAAACGAGGGTAATAAGTTGTGGAGACTTACGAAATTACGTTGCAATAGACTACTGTTCTGAAAAGCTTTGGCTGGAGCACTGACTGTCCTGATATCTGCATAATCGTTCTTGTATGTAAAAAGATGCTGAAATATTATCGTTATGTGGCACAGGAAATTTCATGGTAGCAAGAAAATATATTGGACTGTGTTGTTTGGGTTAAGAACTTGGGCCGCATTTAGACTTGGCGTTGGCACAATTCCGTCTCGGACGTCTGCTAGATACATTCAGGCCACGATGGATCGATAGAGCTGGTTTGATCATAACATCGAGGAACGTTTCCATCGGTCGTTGGATGTCGGCAATGTGCCAAAATAAGGTCAAAAAGTGCGTTCGCGTCATGAAGTGGTGGTCGGAAGTGGAGTAGGAGGTCTTTTCAAAAACTATAATTCCTTTGATGCAGTTCTCAGAATGAGCATGAGAAACAAAAGAACTGAAAAGCGAATGACATTGTCTGCTGGTTAAACAATCGGGTGCGCAATAAATAGCTCTCGCATAAGAGCTCAATCAATACGGCTTTAATCCTTCCCGTGGATACTACTTAACACAGATTTTGATGGTGGTCTCAACGTTAGTTTATAGTTAGGAGCAACCTGTTGCCTTCCATGAGTAAAGCCCAGTAGTTGGCGAGAATGAATTTGTGAGCTAGAATAGGAGGCAGCATAGCAGAGCATGTTGCTATGTGATGAACCAACAATTCTAATGTCCATCGCGACCATTCATGGTTCAGCATGTCGACTGCGTCGTGTACGAAGTAAGCTAGAAAAGTCAGGTTCCAATCGTGTAATTACGCTTGTGTGCGAAAAAGGTTACCTATTGAAATTAGCGGCAGCTGTGCGGCCCATGGCTTATACCAATGAGTGATGTCTCCAAACATTTCTTTTGGGTGAGTGAATAAGAATACAGTTGTCCATATGCCGGAAATCATTGCGTGAAGAAGGCAAATAGATAAATTTTGTAACCGATATGCTCTAAATAAGTTTGATCTTGGGTGGGAGGAAAGCAGTGCCTATAGAGTAAAGTATTGGCACAATCAAATCCAACTAATTGTGGTAATTTGGTGATGCCAAGAAAAGTAAGGATCCTACTTGAAACCTGTATAGTCCTGCCACATGAAGCTCTTCACGAATTGACTAGCGAATCGAAAGCACATGAAGTAAGCAAAAAAAGGAACGAAGAATGACGGTTGGAGTATATTTGAGAATGGAGGCATTTCCAGGTGAGCACGATGATATAAGTCATCTGGGTCGGACATTCCCATGCCTGAAAGCTACCTCACATTAAATGGAATAGATGGCGTTTCAGAAATGGTATGCGCAGGTGTGCGTAGTGACGGGGGAGACGACGAGATTTGTGGCACAGGGGTCCCCGCCCCCAGCGACCAACGATTTCAAGCGCAGTGCGCTTCGACGGATGGATGAATCACGCCAGTCACCACGCCACGTTTCGTCGTGTTGCTCCCTATCGGGACGGTTATCTACACGTTTCGACGTGTTTCCGTACTGAATGGAACGGGAAAATACTTGTTGAATCGTGCTGACCAATTTGGGATCTTTCCCATTTCATAGACCATGGGAAAACAGGACGGCTAGCAAGTTCGAAGAGGAATCGAGGCGGAGGTGCACTGGTGGTTCGTTGTTATGTAGTCGGGCGCGCTGCTCTCAGGGATTATTCTAGCGAGCGCGTGAGTGTTTACATATACCTCTACTGCACTCCCAAGGAAACTACTCCGGGTCTTCGTGACGTCCAAAACTGAAACTTTGTTCAATGAGAGCAAAAAACCTTCCGAATAAACTTATCTTTACTTTTGCATCTCCTTTTTCAATTGACTGCAAAGTACCTTTTCGATAGCTTACTACTATATGCGTTGCTATTTTGTTCTCTCCCACTCTCTTTTACTCACTTGTTTTCTGTCAGCTACCATCGCTTGATCACTTGAGCCCCGGAATTTGGGCCTCGTTTTGTCTCTTTGTCGTTATACATGCTTCTCCACCTTGTAGGTGAATGGGAGTGGATGGGAAAAAGGAGCCGTTCATGAGACTGTAAAACTAGCCTCAATATGTGATATCTACCATAATATTGTAATCGTGGGAACCTCCTCTCACTTTCACGAAAAACTGTTAACTCGCACCCCGTGCACTTGGGGATGGTGTTGCATGAAGGGACTTATGCGAATCAAGCGTGGCATACGAAGAAAAAGAGAAGGTTCGCGAGTATTGAATATGCAAATGCTGCTCATGTTGAAGGTAATGTCCAAGCCAAAATAATTTGTGCAGGTAGAAACATTCGCGTAGTGTGAAGGGTGATCAGGTGCTTAAAAAAGTAATGTGTGCAACCGAGCTTGTGGTTTCTAATTAGGCGCACGTTGCGTTGTTGTTGGACCTTTTTTTGATTTAGTAGTGGACTAAGGTTAACCACGATAACTCAGATAACAGAGTAATCCTTCCTTTCTAGAGATACGAACTAGTTATGTCGGTTTGTTTATCAGTTTATGGGTCCGCATATTAGCTGTGTGTCTGTGTGTTTGCCCTTTGCAAATTTTCCATAGTTGTGATAAAGGTGGTAGGAGAATCCCCCCCCCTCCAATTTGAGTTGGCAGGGAACTCAAAAGGGGGTTGAGATAATGTTAATGATAGCGTTTATACAATGTAGATAATAACAAATGTATCTACTTCACCACGATAATTCCAATCCATCGATACTGTTCACATCGATTTGTACGTAGCTGAACAAGTGGTCACTACATTTGGCAAAAATCAATTGCACCAGTTTGTAAAATAGTAGATCCTTCTCAGTATATCATTTACACGAATGGCTAAAGGATGTATGCAATCATCCTTCACACAGTGCTACATTAGTTCGCTAAGTGTGTCCATAGGATGGTAACACTGGTGGTAGGTTGTGCGAAATGATAACAATTGATAAGGACTGATAACGAGCCTTAGAAAGCAAGAGACGCACGATTGCGGGGTCCGGGGTGTGGAGGGACTGCTGATTAATGATACGATAGGAGTAGGCAAGAGTTCATGGGTCCGTTATGCTCTTTAGATTGATAGTAGAAACCTGATCTTTTGTAGGTGGGTGTAGGCTGTTAAGAACAGTGAATGTTTTGTGACTCAACATCAATCACCAAAGTGTGAAGGTGGGACAGGGACTGATGCTAAGTGATGAGTGCTAGTAGGAAGCTATAAAAGGCAAGAGCCACTGGTCTGTAATGACCTTCGTGTCAGCAGTGAAACCTTTGCGTTTTGATGGTTGATGTGAAATGTAAGATGGTGTTGACAGATACTAACAACAAGTGATAAGGACTGATAAGTGACTATAGAAGTCAAGAGTCATTGAGTCGTTTGCGCCGTTTGAGTTAACAGTGGGTGCTTGACACCTTGGAGGGTGATGCGGGGTTCTTCGGGAACGTGGATGCTTAGTAACAAGAACTAATATCGATGTTAGTGGCCAATGATTATGGTCATTATTTAGATGAGAGCCGCTCCTGAATCTGTTATTAGACAATTCCTCTTTTCGCACGGCATCGGAGCATTGCTATATCAGGGCGTGATATAGGGTGTGACAGGATGGCAGATAACGGGTCTCAGAAAATAGTGACAGGAGATAAAGACTGATAAGGGATGCTGATTTTTCAGTTTTTGACCTCTTTGGTGAACACATTGTAGCCTTAACATTTTCATACATCATGTGATAAGCCGAGTTGATAGAGTAGCTGGACAAAAAATGTGTGATATATGTAGTGACCAGGGCTGTTTCAAAGAGAGTACCCAATATGAATGACGAAATTTCGTTCATTCTTTGCTATTGGTTATGGAGTCTACTTCTCAAGATCGCCCGCACTCTTCAGATTAGTAGTACATACTGTAGGCACAATGTGCTCCCAAGTTTAGCTGCTCAGTGTGAAACTTCAGCCAACATCGGCAGGCGCATTCAGAAATGTTCTGCATAACGTGAATGAAGAATAGGAAAAGTCTTTATAGTATGTGATATGGCCTTTATAGAGTCAAGATTAGAAATTTTTATTCCTGCCCAAAAACATTTCAGAGGCTAGGAAAAGTGGGTAGACGCTGGTAAAGGTTAAATCTCTGAAAGGTGAGATTATCTTTGGGTGGGCGGAGCTGAGGGAAAAGTTGAGCAGGTTCTGGCAAAGAAAGGGACTTGAATTTTTTTTTGGAGTGGGGTTGGCCTAAAGCATAGAACAAAAATACCTACATTCCTAATCAGGTACGTTCCAGAATCCAAGAAGAAGTGAGCAGCCATTAGCAAAGGCCGNCTGGCAAAGAAAGAGACTTGAATTTTTTTGGAGTGGGGCTGGCCTAAAGCATAGAACAAAAATACCTACATTCCTAATCAGGTACGTTCCAGAATCCAAGAAGAAGTGAGCAGCCATTAGCAAAGGCCGAGACCACAATTAATCGTGCTGGGTCAGGTGAGCACTGAATGGGCAGAGCTTATAACAAATATTCCACTCGGGTTCAAGTCACTCTGAAAACCTGTAAAGAAGTGGGCAGATGATAATGAAAAAGGGATCGACTTCCATGGCAATCAGGTATATGGATGGTATGCAAAGCTGAGATTCTATAGAAAACTATCCAGAACCATCCCATATTGTTTATTGGACCGCTTGATCTCAGCTTCTCTCTTTGTAGACGCAGACTTTTCAATCTTTATGAAGCGGAATAATGGGCAGTTTGTTCTGCAATTACTAGATATCGATGGGCATAAATATCGACTTGTTGTGCAATCGAAAGGGTGTTTATAGCTTCGCTTCCAGTGCGTTCAGGTCTCATAGAAGTAGTTGTGCAGCAGCAGGGATGGCGGCCTAAATTGATGCCAATAAATGGCGTTGTTGTCCAGTTGATCATGTTTTCTTAGCTAGTTTCTTGAAGTGCGGAACGTTTGAACCCTTTGAAAAAGTAGGGAATTGTACATTTGGCAGAGCAGGTCGATATCATTCAATCAACATCGATTAATATCGATTTGCTTTGTAGGTGACTGACTGAATGTTCGTCGCCACTCTTCCCTCAGGAAGTATAGGTGATTTGCAGTGTGGGGAAGCTCGTCGATACAACGACTTGTAAAAATCGATTTGTTGTTCACTAACTGATTACTAATAGTTCCATTCGGACATAGAATCTCTTCAAGCTTACAGGGAATTGTATGGATATAATGGTAAAACAGTTAGAAAGATAGTGGTCAATAACGGCCAACCAGTTCCCATCAATATTGATTTGTACAGTTATATAAGGGTTATTCAATAACCAATTTTACGAACCGAAATTTTGACTTTGAAATGAAAATTAAGGCTTGGCGTGGGCAGGGCTACCCTACTGCGATGAATATGCAATGGTTTCTCTTTTTAAGTTCGCAGGAATCGAGCAATGTGAGCGGCGATAGCAGGGTGGAGAAGAAGGATGACTGCAAGTCCCTTCGCAGAGTTTCACATCTAGGTGCACAGATAGGGTCAAAAACGAATGCAGGTAATCAGCAAACAACAAAGACAATATATAAGTTCTGTATGCTTTTGATGGATAGCTCGCGATGATAGCATATTCGTAACAATAGCGAAAAAATGGCGCTCATTAGAAGTTACCAAGATACCTTAGAAAACTCCATTTACCGATATCGGTGGGACGAGCACGGCATCGTGCGCATATAAACTGGGGAGTACTAAAGGAGAACTATAATACTAATACTGGTAACTGGTGCTAGTGAATAGTGGTAGGGCACACCACAAGATCATGAAGCCATCAAAATCAAAAGTCACTATTGACCTACGATCGTTCATACTACTTCGGGAATTGGAAGCTTACCAACGTACTTTTTCTCGGCATCATAGGTAAGGGATATCAGACAGTCTCCCTTATAAAAGGAAATTATAAAATCTCGCTCACCTGATCTCATGCTGTTCGACTGCAGGTTTCCGCGTCTGTAATGGAAAGCAGAGCAGATGAAACTCGTAAAACAAGTGTTATCTCTGCAGTAAAAGGGCCATTAGTAAGCTCATGAAAGTGTTAGGTTTATGAAGTTATTTTCTTTCAAGGCAAGGAGTTAGTTGCACGAATCTCATATTACTTCTCTTTGATGCATTCGTTCTTCTTTTTAGTCTGTATAGCTACTTACCATGATTTTATCGCTAATTTTAGGCGGATGTGATAGAATATAATGCCAGAGCCTAGGGTAGCAATGACTCCTATGTACCAATCTACCCACTTCTTGGCGGCACACCTTATTCACAAGACAATCTACTATCACCTTTGCGTATACCTATCGTAGTGATACATATGTAGTTCTGCACTTGGGAATGTGAGCTCTGGAAAGGAGTGGGCGTAGTAAGGGGCTTCGAAGGCATCAGACACAACTGGCTTAATCAGACTGTCATGAAAGTAAGACAAAAGTGTTGACTGAAGATAACTTTGCTGCTGCTTAGACTTAATGCCCATGTTAATCTGCGATGAAATTTAGAACTCCTAAGTCGAAGAGAATAGCATAATCTCATCTGCTTTCATATCCAATCACTCCTTTCAAAATTGTTTCAGTGCGTTGATCGGATTTTGAGCAGAAGCGCTGGAGAGCTAAATGCTTTCGCCGTCGTCCGCCCACCAGGTTCCTTCTTTCCCATACAAATTTGCATTTGCCATAAGCAGTTTTTACCTTTGCAGGTCATCATGCAGGAATATCTGAACCGAGCGGGTTTTGCATTTTCAACAATGTTGCCGTAGCAGCTCAGGTTTGTTCTCCTTTCCATACGAATGCTTCCTTACGCATCATCTTGTGTTTCTGTGGGGCACGACGCTTGAAAGGGAAACAGCTATTCACGCACATTCACATATCAGTTTAAGAACGTTTTATAACGTGTGAAATTTCTGCAAAACTCGATATTGTCCAAGGTACACGAGAGGTGTTAAGAAACTCAGAACTTAGGCGTACGCGTGCGTGGGTGTTGTGCAGTAGGAACGAAGCTGTCGCGTCGCGTCGCGGCAAGAGAGACGCCGCGTGCGAAGGAATGAAGCAGAATGCAGCAGCAAGTATGAAATACAGGAACAAAGGAATTAACAGTAGAATCATGCCAAAAGTAATAATCGCATAGCGATCGAGCTGTATGAAGAACGCTAGAACTGTTATAATGAGGGAAATGGTCCACGACATCCGCGTGCGGCGGGTCGATTGCACAAAACCGTTCCAACTGCCGTTTACCCACGTCCGTTCTGGGACATGGGAGCATCATCGAAAAAGTAATCCAATTCTTTCGCTGAACGAAGCACCACCTCAAAAGTTATTTCTCTTCTTCAAGAATTCATAAATCTTTTTCAAAACTGCTCGCTAGAGACCAAGTGAAAAGGAAGTAATCAATAACAGTACTAAGGGCAAAACAGTGGTTCAGAGGGTGCTGTCAAGCAGAAGAGTATTGAGAGGGTAGATGGAACTACTGCAGTAGATTAATGGTTTTCTTCCATTATGTTATAGAAACTGATAAAAATAGTCGTCAGTAGTAGCATCCAGAATCAAAGATCAAGATCTCGATGTTCTTCGAAATGGGGCGGCTTTTATGCAAAAGTCTTATGCTGTTATTTTTGAACGGGGTAACAAAAATGCTAGCAAAACGCAAGTAGTGGAGGAGGCAAGAAATGCTTTATGGAATCTGCATTTGGTGCTTGTGACCTTCGCAATTGATTGCTGAATTTGGACGTTGGCAGTGTTAAGGAATCGATAACAGCAAATGGTTAAAATGGCTAGCTGCTCGATATTAACATTGATGTGTAATAAAATAGTTTCGCATATCCAATTGGGCGAAAGGCGTGCTATTAAAAATTTATCAGCAGCAACTCTCTCCCCCCCCCCCCCCTTCTCTTTCACAGGACAGGTGAATTAATGAATCAGCTAGCTGCGCTCGGCTGTTCCTGCGCAAATAACGAGGTATTTTCGACGAGTTGCCCACGAATTGTGAGAACTCGCTTTTATGTAAGATAAGGCAAGATTATGGGAATAACGTGGGGCGCATTATCCCCACAGAAAAAGCTTTCGTCATTGAACTTTTTTTGTTTTGATCTGTCTGTCTGCAAACTGATTCTCTAGCTACCACGGAAATTCTGCTTTCTTGTGAACGATTGCTTGCGAACGCACTGCAGTCATGAAAGGCCATAGATTCGAAAGCACGGAAAGGGACAGTGTTGATGGAACAATACTCCAGCTGATCGGTATTTGAAATGGCTGTTCGAATAAGTAATCGTCAACCGAACGATGCGCCATCGATAAGAGTACTGGAGCTTCCGCTTCACCATTACGAAGCTGATCGCTTCGATGCTAAGGATTGCAAAGAGATATGGTGACTAATTGGCAACGGTGAGCCTCTTCTTTCACCTACCATGAATGGCACTGTCACTTCTTCTGAGAAGGTTTTGCTTCTACGAAGTTTGCCGAAGTGAACGACCACTGTCCTCAAATACGGACGCTGTTCTGGTTAACTATCACTGCAATCCTGTTCAAAGTGGCAGGATTTGGAAAAGACGATCCCCACTCAAAAATCCATCATCCAAGACGTTCCATACAAGAGTTACTTTTAAATCAAGACTCTTTGCAAATATCGCACGTCTTTGACTGAGCAGGAGTGTCGGGTGCGAGTCAGTGTTTCTCAGAGCTCATCGACTGTAAACGACCGACGACATCAACCGACTTCGTCGTTGCTCAGGATGAAAAGTAGATGTCATATGAAGATCCCCACAAAAAATCGCAATGTCTACCGCCGGGCGTAAGGCCACAGCCCGCTATAAAGCGAGGCGCTCACGTCAAGAGAGACATGAGCTCACTCTTCCTCTGCTAATTGGGTGTTTTACTAGAACATCTTACCAGAGTGTACTGCGGTAAACGCAAGAGTCTTCTGTTTTGGACTGAGAGAGATGGTGTTTCACATTTCCAATTTCACATCGGTCACAAGGAAATTTTTGATTGTGATGGATAGTGCTCAGCCACCCCTCTCCTGACTAACCCGCTCCCCACAGATTCATCTGACCTCAACCCATATGATTGCCATATTTTCAGAAGCCCATAAGCCTGCTCTATAGGGAGAAAATTAACCAACTTCTGACTGACAAGTCGAGTAGGTGGTAGATGAATGAATTGCGTCATGCCTCTCTTCGTATTGGAGGAATGGTATCATTGATAGAAAGAGATTGTGGCTGAAAAGCACCACTATCTTTGATCATTTATCTGAGTTTATTGCTGTAGTTATTTGGAGCGGTAATGATGCTGGAGCAAACATTTTCATGAATTTATGAAAAAGCAGCTGCCCTTTGTATGCTAGACTCGTAACTACTTCTATTTCAACACTACTTCATTGTACTACATATTTACCGAAATTTACTTTTACCGAAATCATCTTCCATTTACGGCTGAAATTACTTTCTTGATCAGAGTCTATGTAGGTAGTAGATTATAACTAATCAACTCATTTGTCAATGAATTCTTTATTTTCAGTATGCCATAAATAAGTACAATTTGCGTCGGGTTCTGATTCTTGACTGGGATGTGCACCACGGTAACGGGACACAGGAGATCTTCTACGAAGTGAGTGCACTGCTCTTTTAGCCTGAGCTTACCGTAGCTAAGTTTAACTGTTTCTGAAATGAGATTGCAGGATGATCGTGTGCTTTACATGTCTATTCACCGCCATGATGAAGGGAGATTTTATCCTATGGGAGAACCTAAAGACTACATTGACGTCGGTGAAGGAAAAGGAAAAGGATTTTCTGTGAATATTCCATGGAGCCATGCCAACATTGGCGATGACGCCTACCGCGCAGCTTTCGCCAAGGTTTGTCTTCCATTTGCTTACTGTTTCCTAAGCATACAGTATTTCTTCATGGTGTAGGTAATAATGCCGATTGCCTACGAATTCAATCCAGAGATCGTGTTCATCTCATCCGGATTTGATGCTGCTATTGGTGATCCCCTCGGTGAATACAGGGTGAGACTCTGATGAATATACTAGTAATGAGCAGGATGTATTTGAATTTGTTCATTGCACAGTTAATAATTTAAGGTAAGTGCTGAAACGTTCGCTTTGATGGCCTACCAGCTTCTTGGACTGGCTGGAGGAAGAGTAATCGCTGTACTCGAAGGAGGTAATTCTTTGCGTTAGAGCCGTTATCAGATTTGAAGGCACTATTTACCCTTTACTGCCCCACTTTGTCGAGAATGGGCTGGATTTCCATCGAATTTTTTTCAAGAGGATGAAAACGACTAGAAACTTGCCTAGAGGGGTAATTTGACCCGCAGAACACGAATATCGCATCCATTCGTCATGAAATGTTCTAACACACTACTTAGGGGCAAGTTTTTAGCAAGATTTGTGACCCAGCTCCATTTGGGGCCGGCATCTGTGGCGCGAACGCTAGGCATCTTCATGACGAATGGATGCGATGATCGTGTTCTACGGGTCAAATTACCTCTCTAGACAAGTTTCTAGTCGGTTTCATCTTTTTGAAAAAAATTCGATAGAAATCCAGCCTATTCTCAACAAAGTGGGGCAGTAAAGGGTAAATAGTGCTGATTTGAATTGATTTTATCATGAATTCTTTCATCACAGCTCCTGAACAACCATCTTCGATTCTTAATTATTATTTCCTCTAAAAGTGATGAAGGCGAAGGCATAGGGAACCCGTTGTGTTTCATGATACTTTTTGTATCCGCGAAGGACGACTCCATCGCGCACAAAAGGGCATGGATAATATATCGGCACATAAACTCGTGGATTGAGTGTTTTGAATTAGATTCTTCCTCGTCCCTTTCAAATTGTTTGGAGGGAAAGAAATCCTACCCAAGTTACACCCTAGTGGAGTTGCTAATTGCTTGTACCGATATTGGCCACCGATGCAGTTTGAACATCAAGTCTTCAACGTCGCGCTAATCTGTCCTACTACTCTCTGCGGTCTCAGTTTTGGAAATTGATACCTTTCTTTGGTGGAAGTTCGCGAGAAGAATACTTGGGGTTAGAGCAAATTCCATTCGTAATCTCGAATCCAGAAGTAGTGATATGAGGTGGTGGAGGACGGGATGTCTTACAATACTTGTTTCGAATTTGCCTCGGAACTATCGAGGAACAAATTGGCCAACCGCCTTAATTAAATCATAGGTCGGAGTCTTCGACAAGGCAAAGAGTACTCATTGGCATAGCCGATATAGATCGCAGGGCCCTATGAGCTTTCTTACCTTATCCTCGAACACACTTACGAATCATTCGTCAGGGCCACAAGAGATTGAGAAGTCGGCTGCAGAGGGTGTTTTCATCATGCCCAAAAAGTCAGTTTCAAAAACTAAACCTTAAATGTAACACCTCTTGTAATGTATAAACTTGGGATGTGAAAGGTGAATGAACGACCTTGGCGGTCAGCCACGACTTTCGTCTGGCTTTATGGGAAACCAAAAAAATAGTTTATGTAGAGAAGTGGTTTTGGACCGAATTTCTAGAGATAACCGAATACTCCTACAATGATATCGTTCCTGTCTCCTGTGGTAGTTTATGGAAAACTAGTTCAGAGGATTGAATGATTTCGAGGGTAGTCTCTAAACTTGTTTCTTGTTAGGAGGAATGTTTTGATTGATTGTAAAAAGGTTTGTAAAACCTTGAGTGAGTAAATTCATAACTGTTGTCGTCTAAGAGTCTGTAGTGGAGCCTCAGTAAGTTCAGAGCTCGAGAATGAACATCTGTTCCTCACAGTTTAGGTTATAATCTCGCTGCCACGGCTGAATGTGCTGCTGCTGTTTGCCAGGTGATGGTTGATGGCTCGGTCAGAAACATTACGAAGTCCAATGATGCTACGAACTATGATTCACCGTGAGTCCACATTGTTCGCTGCGCTTACTTTTCTAATAATGCAGCCCTCTTCAGAGCTCGTTTGCCCAGACGTGTATGGGATAGTATCAGAGGGGTCGCCTCTTCACAAGAGCCGTACTGGAACTGTCTCAAAGGATTTCAGGTAGCCATGCACTTTTTCAAATCTATGCGGATAACATTTATTTTGCTGAATAATGTTGCATGTTGCAATCTGTAAAAAATCTGGGCAAAATTTCCAAGTTCTTATCGTGTCGTTCTCAGCCTTCGAGTAAAATATCAGAAAGTTTGGTGTGACGATCGCATAGTGCGAGAATGCTAGGAATATGTAAAGAAATGCCTTAGGATTCAAAAGTGAAGCGAAAAATGGACGTGGAATAATCGAAGGCACAGTTCATGATAGTTCTAGGGTATCTAGTTTTGATCGAGTAATGAACCAATGAAGGGGATAGCCTAGGGTAGTGCAAACGATGCCAAAAAAATGCAACTTCTACGGCTTCTACAATGCCGTGAGAACTTGTTGCCTCCGGGTGTATACGCCAGCTAAGGGCTTTTGATTCCCTTATTACCCCCTACATAACTTCAGATTTTACGTAATGAATCTGAGTTCACCTGAAAGAAAAACAGAGAAGGATGGACATTGTTGGCGAATGCATGTAGGAAAGTCTGCATAAGGAAAAGGCAGAACAGAAATGGTGCACTTTAAAGGCTTCCATTCTGGATAGTTTCGAAGATATTTCAGAGGGAGTGTTGGGTAGTAGCTCCCAACGATGTTCCTTCCAAGTTGGCTGTTCTTAAAATTGTCTTATCGTTTTATTTCTAGATTATTGAGCTCAGCCCTCTCCTGCACCTTGGTTTTTTTTTGTGCGGCATTCTAAAAAAAGCTCAAAACCTTTTGATTTTATTCGTCGTCCAGATGTTCAGAGTTATCTTGATGAGACGAGCATCGCAATGACATGGTCTTTTTCTTGTGCTTGTCGCTTAATCGATTCTGATGGTTCTTGTAAATGACAGAGACACTTCGGATCAAAGATGGCGAGAAAGCAGAAGCGCGAACCGCCGAAGTCCCAAGTGCCAAGTTCTTTGCCCTCCAGTGCAGTTACCTCTGTTCGCAGATCTCCACGAATCGCTGCCATGAATGATGATGTTGAAAAGCAGCTGCAACGTCTATCTCTTCAGAAAGACAGGGCTGACTATTCCTAGATTGTTAAAGTTTCCACTGGACTGCTTATACTAACCCAAAAAATTGTATTCACTTATGTAGCAATAGAGTGTCTACCAATTTGCTTCTACTGCTTAAATTACCCGTAATGAAAGTTTAAGGACCCTCGATGAAGGTTCCACTCACAAATGGGCAGCAGTTGTATTTCGTTCAAGCGAAGTTCATTGCATTATGATCGTATAGATTCAATATATGTGAAAATGTTTTCTAATATTAGTGTAGGTTCTGTATAGCGGGACAAGAGTGTAGGTTAGTCTTATGATCCTTGGGAGATACAGTTTCAATTTGAGCAAAGTTAGCTAAGTTTGTGAGCTTTGCTGTGGGTCCAGCATTGTGAACGTTTACAGCTCTACAGCTATGTACAGTACAGCTGTCTCGCATTTGCACTCGTTGTCCAAGTGAATGTACATATTGCTTACAAGCGAATAAGGAAGTGATCGTATATCTAGTTTTGAAAGTAATTTAGTTTTGAAATAGTGGGATTCTAATCAAAGTCTCTTTGTAATATCATACCTCAGTGAATTATTGTATGATACAAAGGTCTCAGCTGTTTCTATCTTGTTTGTTCAAAACGAAAAGCCGCCTCTCTCATATTTGCAGTACTGTCTTCACCTTTGCAAATGACTATGTTAAAGGCACAGTTCACGGTAATGTCGAGATATCTATATAAAGTGAAACAATGGAAGTCATGGCGCAGAATGCTGCAAGGGTGGCAAAGAAAGCGCGAAAATTGTTGAATTTTGTAAAATATAAGACTTCAAAATGGTAGCAAGAGTGGAGATTGTATGAGATGGCCTTCTGTTTGTCTCTCATTTAGGCGTACAAGGCCGTTCTTGGGTCTGGCAACGGCCCATGTATTCACTATCACTGGGATCCACAGTTTCATACTGGTAAGACATCACAGAAACCATTTTTATCGTGAACTGTGCCTTTAAGTTCATTCTCTATCCTGCGAATACCAAATCATTTTTTTATTTTCCTTACTTACTGGCAAACTGTATATAGCTGAATCAGTGAATTATCATTTCATTGTTGATATTTGCTAATAAAACTTTAAAGTTAGCCTGTTGGAAACATTTCTTTCTGTCATTGGCTCGTTGCTCCTTATCGATTGCAACTTCTAATATGTATCGCGTGGACACATTAGATTAGTTCACAGCGAAAATTCCAGGTTTCCTTGGGCATTCCACCAAAGCAGTTCGACCTTTGCACGACAGACTCGCCACTTCCATCTGATCAAAACATCATGCAAGCCGACGGCCCAAGTTCGAACGAGGGAGCATTTGCAGATGGTCTGCTTGCTGTGGTTCCACTCCCAACATGTCCTCATCTTACTCAGGTTCGCTGTTTTCTTCAATTTACATCCAGAAGCCAAAACGTCCGGAAGTAAGCGTGCAAGTACTCGTCAATAAACTTTTAAACTAACTCCAATATTCTTCCCTAGGCGGTCGAACAGTACTGCTAGCAGGCGCGATGAGGTCAGAGCTCAAAAGTTCTTTGAAAGACCTCAAATTCGATTCTCAGGTCCAATTTACTTTTTTTCAGATTTTGATCGCCGAGAAGGGCTTCGAAATAAGTTCAAAAAGAATTAGGTCGTGGTTTGACTCGGCTAATTTGTCATGTTACTTGATCATATCAGGGTAACTCAGTTATCAAGCTCCAAAAGTAATTCCGGAAATCAATCAATATATGATATATTGTTCATTTAAAGATGAAAAGCGGCAGTAGATGCTCACAGACAGCTTTGGTGAGGAAAATACTTTTCTATTCGGTCAAGGAAGTTCTACCCGTTTCTTTGTAATCCATGTGTATGAATTCCACGAAAGGGAGCGAGGGTGAATTTTTCGCTGATGAGCCTAGGAGAGTTTGGTTGGAGTTCAGCCACGTCGGTATGTTACTCCACTCGGAAGACTGAAAATTGAAAGCAAAATCATGAAAATAACTTACTGAAACGATGTGAACAAATTCTTCTGTGTCAGTGCTTTAGTTTTGGGCCAAAGCTCAGTTTCGTAGCTTCGTAGGAACCTTTGCTTTCCGATTTTGCTCTCATCCATCAAGCTACAGTAAGTATTCAATTTGATTTATTTCGAAGCAGCTTAGAGAAGGTGTGGCACTCGATTTGTAATGAGCAAGAACAGGGTCGTGTTTTCGAAATGTTTTTGTAACTGCTTATCATGACCCAGAATCTCGGAACGAAGCGATTTTCATGGCATTCGATTCGAGATGCTGGGACATTATGAGCAGTTACATCGACAAAATCCATATTTACAGTTTAATTTTTTATGATACTTGTGAACATGGTGTCGCAATCATACCAAAACTAAAGTTTTGAGAATATGAGCAACTGAGCTTAGAAGTTTTTTGTAAATTTTTTTCCTCCACAGTGTATTCTAGCTTCCATATCATACTGCTAGGCTTTCAGTTTACAACATTCAAACTTCATCAGTGTCATTTCCGTTACTCGTGTTGGTGTATGCATGTGTATGTGTGCCTATGTGTTATGTACATGTGTATGTGTATGAGTGTGCCACAAAAAAGCAAAAACAAAAAATGAATTTCGATGCTTATTATGGGCGTGGGTGGTGCCACAAAAGAAAAAAATACAACAAGATTCCGAGGCAGCTTGGCATGTCAGAAGGTGGCCACAGAGGTAGAAGCAAAGGAATAAAGAATGAGGGTTCGCGGCCGTTGTGCAGCTATGTGAGTACAGCTATGATCACTGCAACACAACATTCCATGTAGCCTAAAAGCCCGGAGGAGGTGGTTGAAAACTAGCAACTGGGAAGCGGCCAAATTTCTACATTTGTTGTTCCATGCTATAACAAAAGATAAGGTCCAGTGATCCTTCAAGTTCACCTGAATTCAGGAAAGTGCTGGGCAACGAAGTAGCTTGACAGGAGTGTCAGCTATTAGTAGATGCTTTGAGAAAAGTTTTTATAGTATACTTTTTTAAGTGATGAGTAAAGTTTGCAAAGAAGTGATTCATCCAGACCAGGTTCACTGGTCCAAAGTGGCGTAAAAGAACGGATTTTGAAATATGAATATCCGGTAGTGTAAGAGATAAAGAGCACGGTATCGGGAAGCACAAGTACAGCCTCTATTCACTTCCAAGTTGACCGTTTTGCTAATAACTTCCTGTAGACTCCCTTGTCCAACATTTATTGTCAATTACTCTTTCCAAGTCGGTCTTAATGCTTTGGCACTCGGCTGGCTTACGTGGAATCAGTCGGCTGTTATCGGCTTATTGATGTAAAAAGGCTGGTTCTGTTGATGAGCGAATAAGTAATGCAGTTACACTGTTTAGTTAGATTTTCATCCTCAACACTTTTTGAGCTGTATAAGTTGAGCCGATAGATCATTTCAGACCAATGAAGTACCCGAGACAGGAATTGATGCGAACTCTGTGTGCGATGTTTGCCATGAGGCAGCCGAACCATGGGTCTGTCTCACATGTTACAAGGCATGTTCTTGATCCATAACCATAGTCCTAATCGGTAGCGTTGCTTAGACGAAGGTCAGTTTAGGTTAGGTAAGGAAGTGATAATAGCAAATATTTTAGATGTACCTATGGGTGCACAGAATGTAATAAGGTTTAGTTCGATCGAAAAGCTTGAATTGGTTGCAGTTGCTCAGAGTTCAGAGGAAGTGCGTCAGGAAGCATCATCGCAGTCGTCTGCTCAAGATCTAACTCTCTAGCTAAATTGGTCTTAGCACGGTCGTGGGCTCAGCTCTGGTGTTTTTTCATCAGCAAGTCAGTGGTATTTTTCCTTAAGAGGAGCGCTTCTATCACTCCGTTGGCTTGTCCAGGAGCGCCCTCAAACTCAGCGCGTTGGGTCTGTCATAGGTCACCGCTTACCTTTAAGAGCCTTTGTTACATCTTTCTGTCCTCTCCCTGTCTGTTTCAGTGAAACCCTTAAAGACCTTTGGCCTTACTGCCCCATCCGAGTTTCGAACTCGTGACCATGTGTGTGCGATAGTGCCTCACTTCACCACTTTCGCCTTCTGTGAACATATACCCCTCCTATCCTGCTCCGTGAGGGGAGCAGTCAAACGAGGTAGTTGTTCTCCTCATCCTTCTCTCCCCTTAGAGAAAACTGAGCGTGTCCTGCAGATTGATTCAACTTTAATTCTCCTACTCAGACCATCTCCTCTTACCTATAACTTCACTAACTATATCTTTGGCCGCATGCGTAAGTGAAATTAGTTAACTTCATTAGGATCTGACAGCTAATCTCGTTGTTAAAAAAGTTACTACATCTTCCTCACACCAGAATAAACTGTGTAACAATAATTGGTAAGCAACTGTGGAGCAGATGTTTCAAACCAAATTTTCTTATAAGGAGAAGATACGATATGGCCATGATCCTGTAACTCGATCGAGCTTTTACTCAGAGGTTCAGAAAATATTATAGTTTCATTTGTGACCTTCGTTTTCGGCGTTGCAAGGATCATGGTATTACCGCATAAGGATTACATTGTTTTCAGGTGCACTGCGGGCGTTACGTGCATGGTCATGCCGTTGCCCATCACCTTGCCGAGCCAACACACGCGATGTCTCTTTCACTTGCCGATCTCTCTGTGTGGTGCTATCCTTGCGAAGCTTACGTCCACAATGAAGTTCTTATCCCAGCCAAATCTGCCGCTCATTTGAGTAAATTTGGTGAAACTAGTCTTCAATAAAGCTGTATAACATGTGCAGTTGCACTTGTATGTCCTGCGTTATTTGGTATTTTCCATTACATGTATGTCATCATGAAGGCCTGTTGTCATTTGTTATCGGAGGGGATGAGGAATCTGATATATCTGTCATTCACTTGGGAATGTTTCTGGTTAAACAAATGAATCAGGTTTATTCCCAAGATCAAGGAAACCAATGTTGTCCGGGTTCTCTGAAAAGGTGGCGTGGAGAAACGGTTCCCGATGCCGTGAAATTAGCGGTAGGGATACAAGAATATTAGTTTGATTCGTTTCGGTCACAAAGCGAAAATCGTATAAGGTTCACACTAAAGAATGAGAACTCATGAAGACTTGTCAACGGCTTTGCAGAGGTTGCACCATTCACATGGGAACCAACGTAGAAAAGCCAAACAACTTTTCATGACCCATAGCGACAGTAAAAGGCAATTGTGGACAGTTTTGGCTTCGCGGTGGGAGCAAGTTGAATCTCGTCCAAACACTCCTCTTATGACATTACCGTTACGGTGATTTCGTACAACCTCCCCTCCCACTAATTTTAAAAAAGCTTGAAGTGGGAGGATTTTCTCGCTTCCTTCGCCACCTCTCTACACCCCTCTACATCAGCGCGTCCGCTTTTCAACCCAAAAAGAGTAACTCAAATCAAAAATTATCGTGAACTGGGCCTTTAAGTCAGTCCCCAGCATATAATTAGACGCGATGTATAATTTGATATGATAACATAAGGGTTCAGGTGATCAACACTGCGATTTTGATTCATAATCGAATACAATTATCAGCTTCTCTATAACGAAAATAGAAATGGATGTTTAGCTAACCACAAAAATTATTTGACCGGTTATTGAACAGAAACTGCGACTTGTTGTCGTGCACTCGCTGAGGGACGGCAACCCACTGGATCAATAAATATGTATTGCGACTTTTTTGTCAGAAAATATTTCCTTTTTCATCCAGGTCTTCCTCATTTTTCATGTTACAGCTCAGACAGACATCTTTCTATAAGTGCTCCAGTCATGCGTAATAAGGACGCTTAGGAACGGGTGTTTTCCCCGAAAACCTCGTCGCGCTCGGTGCACCAGATTGCGTGCAGTAGCGCGTTAGAAGGGAAAAGTTTGAATTCTCAATGGAAGGATACAGTAGCCGTGGCGGAACCATGCTGCCTGCCGTAGGAGTTCGGGGAGAAATACCGCCACCCTTCAGAGAACCCTCCAAAATCACGGAGGGAGCGCTAAAAAACTTGAAGACAACCTTTTCTTCTACAAGTCAGATATATGAAGTATATATTTCCTTTATGTCGACATCTATACTTCTATGTATTAACAAAATTGTTCTCTCTGAGTTTCATCCAGTCTTGATTCAAAGGGCAGTGCTTTTCATGGCTCTTGTATTCCATCCCTATCGTAGAGAATCGAGCATGTGCTGCCTTCGTCAAGTCTCAAAATCAAAACAAGGGGATTCAAGAAGTTTCGGCGAGGAACTGATAGGAAAAAAGACACTGATCATTCTGAGGCCGGAGATGTTATTGTGCAACAAGTCTCAGGAGGTGTTGGGTTCCTACCTCCCCCTCCACAGGCGCTCCCAAACTTTTATTAGGGAGAAGCCTTATCCACCCACTCCCCCCCCCCCCCCCCCCCCCCCTTGAATACGCGGCACTAAAAATTCGGCACGGGATGCTTACGGTTATCGCTTCCTCTTCTTCCATTGCTCTAAATCTTATCCTAAGCATCTATTGGCAACCTAATCCTTCCTTTATTGCAACTATCAGCTTTTCTACACTAGACAGACGTGCTTAGTCAGAAAAAAATCTTGAATGGTACTTACGATTAGTGATGATTGGTGCTGTCGATTATAGCACAGTATCAGAAATTCAAATTCATAACGCTCCTCATCTTTGTGAGTACATGGATGCGGTCACTGGAGAATGCGTGGTCCACCAAGGAGTCGCAAACCTCAAAGCGTGGTCGTCGTAATAATAAAAGGGAATCAACGTTGTTCTCCCTGTATAGTAATGTGTTTCATGGGTCATTATCATTTCATCTACCAATCCTTTTATGTTGGTCTACTCTGTGATCTCGTCTTTTCCTATGAATTGGACAAAATGTCGAAGCTACATTTATATACCAAAGTTACCACAAAAGAAGACTTCTAAAAGGCATTGATCACTGTTGACGTTTTTTGTAATCCGTTATCCGCGACCCATTCAGATCCTACATCACACACTGCAGTAGCAGTGCTTCACTAACATATTGAAAGAAGGAGTGATTCAGTGTCTATTATCAGCTCTTATCAATTGTTATCAACAGTGTCACCAACTGCGCGCAGTCCTGAAGAAACCCATATCGCTAGTCAGGAATCAACTTTCCACTATCAATCCAATAGGGCGTAACCGCCTTATCGGCTCCCGCCTTCCATGGATCTTCTATAAGCCTAATCATTGTTATCAGATTATTAGGTGTTTTCATTGCACTCCGCACCTATTATTTGACCACTCGGATCGCTCGGCTAACGCCAGGCTCTCCTCCTTCTTGTGTCAAACACCCTATCCCGAGAAATGTTGAACATTCGTTAAGATGGTTACGTACGTGCAATGATAACGATGATCGGCTAATGCCAGATTTTCCTCCTTCTTATAACAAAAAGGTAATAATGGGCTAACCCGCCACTGCTTCTTCAGACTAAATGGTGCCTTCACGTACACAAAATTTGACAAATGACCAATAGGGCAGTGTCAGTGTATTTAGTATGTGCTGATGTTTATGCCTATAATTGAAAGTATCGATTCATTGCTCTTCATCTCAAAGACATGTCCCGATGATGGCTTAACTGACTGTCAACTAACGTCCTGAATGGAACCCACAAATGTTGTCGAGTGATAATGCCGCATATCGTCGAATTGGTTATCAGCGAACTTTTCTTCGCTACGTATTTATCACTGATGAGAATCCCAGATCACTGGCGATCGGATGAGTTTAGTCACAAGAGATATCGAAACAAAAAGAAACCATAATGTGTCAATGAGTCAGAAACCTTGCTGGCTAGCGGTCGTAGTCCAACAGCGAAAAATAAACCGAGCATTAATTTTTTCGTTATGAAGAATTGCCTTTGATCGGTACCTATCACTGCATCTACCTGTCTTATTGAATAAAAAATACCAAAGAACAATGTTTGAACGTATGACTGTTCACATAAAGGAGTTAACGAACCTATTCGCTCTAGCCTCCTAGGCCTTGCTCGTTTGTTATAGTCCTTACCACAGATCACTTCCGATCCCTTCGTATCCTATTAAAGTGTTTCACCATTAATATGAAAGATGTTTCAGACCTGATGACTATCTATGGCTTGTTATCTCTAACAGTTGTTATCAATCTT